CCGACGAAACAGGACATGGACTTGGGAGGACCCTGATAAAGCAGCGTGTCTGGCTGGACCCCTCAACAAAACAGGACTGGAGTTGGCAGGACCCCCCCGACGAAAACAGGTGTCCGGCTGGACCCTCAACGGAACAGGACGTGGAGTTGGCAGGAACCCCCCGATGAAACAGGTATCCGGCTGGACACCTCAACGGAACAGGACGTGAGTTGGCAGAACCCCGACAAAACAGGTGTTGGATGGACCCCTCAACAGAACAAGGACATGAAAGTTGGCAGGACCCCAGCGGAACCCCCAAATGAAACAGGACATGGAGTTGGCAGAGACCCGACGAAAGAGGTGGTCGGCTGGACCCCCCAACGGAACAGGACATGGGGTTGGCAGGAAGACCCGCCAGGACAGCTTTCGGCGGAACCCTCCCCAAATGGACAGAACAATGGTGTTGGCAGAACCCTCAGCAGAACCCCCAAATGGAACAAAAACATGGAGTTGGACATGAGGTTGACTTGAGTAAGGACCAGAGAAGAGACATGGGAAGGGGATTGAGAAAGGGACTTTGAGAGAGGACTCGAGAGGGCGACTCAAGAGGGGACTTAAAAAGAGACTTGAAAAGAGACTTGAAAAGGACTCGAGAGGGGACTTGAGAAGGGAATTGGAAATGGACTTGAGAAAGGGACTAGAGAAGGGACTAGAGAATGGACCTAAGTAGGGACTTGAGTAGGGAACTAGAGAGGGCCGGACCCCAACAGGAGATGGGAGCTGCAGTCGGTCGCGGAACGCCGACAGGACACCGGGGGCCTGGCGTCGGCCGGGAGCCAGTACTGGAGCCGAAACTTGAGCCAGAAACATGGCAGCAGGGGCCGGAACTGGAGCCGGAAACATGGGCTGCTGGGGCTGGAACTGGAGATGGAACTGGAGCCGGACCCATGGCTGCTGGGGCCAGAACTGGGGCTGGAACATGGCTACTGGGGCCAGAACTGGGGCTGGAAACCATGGCTGGTGGGGATGGAACTATGGGTGCTGGGGCACGGGCTGGAATCCTGGCCTTGCGTCTCCTAGAGGCCTTTTGGAGGCTCCGTGGACCTCCTAAGGCCAGGCCGGATCCCAGGAAGGGTTTTGAGGCTTGAGACCGACACTCAGGGCTGCTTGTAAAAATCCCTTAGCCACTCGGGCAACAATCTGCAGAGCCAGGGCCCTGTTGGCCACCTCCATGTGTGCCTCTCCTTCAGGGCAGCCTCTTTGGCCCCGCTGGATGAGGCTCTCATCCACTTGAAAAAAATATACTCAATTGTGTAGATCAGCGGATCCAACCTCTTGAGGGGAAAAAACGTGCTGGGTCCATTCTGGTCTGTTCGTACTGTCAGGGTGGGGAAAATAGGACCCAAGTGCAGTTAAAAAATACAAAAAGGTTTGGTTAACAAAAAGCGAGCTTTATTAAAAAGAAGCCGAAGACATGAAAAACAAGAAACTAATTAACAAAAACAAAATCGGGGAGCACGACAGACAGGAACAATCTTACAAACGGGAACAGGCAGGAGACATGGACAAGCATAGGCGAGGCTGGGAACATGGACATGAAACGACGACAGGTAGCATGGACGTGAAACGAGGACGAACAGACATGGAGCACAGGGGAAGACAAGACTAAATACACAGAAGTGTAATCACAGGACAAGACACAGCTGGGCAGGGGAGGCAGAAACACAAGGGCAACAGGCGAACACACACCAGGGAAACTAAAGACAGGGAGGCAAACACAGGAAGTACGATCAGACAAGACAAAAGGGCCCTTTCTCATTTCACTAATTACCCCTCCTCGACTCCTCGAATCCTCGATCCTCTGGTAGTGACCCGGAAATGAATTTCAGCGCGCCATGTTGAACATCTCTTTTCTCTAAATGCAATTCGAGGACCGAGGATCGAGCGTCGAGGAGGCTCTCTGGAGGAGGCTCTCTGGAGGAGGCTCTCTGGAGGAGCTATAATCGAGGATACACTGATGGGTCCTTCACGGCTCCTCCGCGGATGAATTTCCCGCCAAAATTGATGTTTAAAAGAGTCGTGACGCACGGCCGGATTTATCTCAGCCAATGCCAGCTCTGCATGCATCCCCTGGATATTATTTTATTAACTGCTTTCATCGCGACGCGATGTTTACAGTAAGAACAGCTGTGAGGTCCGTGCAGAAAGCAGAGCAGTGTATATAATATATATCACTCAGTATAACAGGCCTACATTACTCTCTGTATTTGCTTTATTTTAGTTGATATCTACAAAGAAAGAGTCGATATTTGTCTAAAACCATTTAGTGCTTCAAATAATAAAATACACAACGGCTGTACCCTGATATATATTATATGCTTTAGGAGCTGTAGGTGTGTGTGGTACAGTGTGGAGGTGTGTGTGTGTGTGTGTGTGTGTGTGTGTGTGTGTGTGTGTGTGCGTGCGTGCGTGCGTGCGTGCTTGCGTGCGTGCGTGCGTGCGTGTGTGTGTGTGTGCGCAGATGCGGCAGACAGACAGGTCTCAGCTGGTTTGGTCCTATGCTTACTTTTAATACTTTTTGGCCCGTAATTTAATTTCCTCATTGTTGCGACCAGAAAGGGGGATATATCCAGTCTCTGATAGTGTTACGTTATTATGAGAGTGCTCTCATACTTGTTTGATTCTGAAAATTAATTGTATATATATTTATATAAATATATATATGCCTATATGTGTTTGTGTGTGTGTGTGTGTGTGTGTGTGTGTGTGTGTGTGTGTGTGTGTGTGTGTGTGTGTGTGTGTGTGTGTGTGTGTGTGTGTGTGTGTGTGTGTGTGTGTGTGTGTGGGTATCTGTAGCCTGTTATTGTCTCATTATACCACACTGTGAATGACTTAAAAGTAAATATACAAGTCATCATGAACACAGTTATGTCCATCAGACAGAGGGCTGCTGTGCCTCCTGTCATCATTAATGGACGTCTCTTTAAAATGTCTGCTCAGAGGAGAGGATTTCTCATTTCTCTCTTGCCCTTTCTAAAAACAGACATATTCCACATTGGTTTTTTTACATTTTCTTTTGCACATAAATCCTTTTTATTATATTTATTATTCCCAACTTGTGTCTTTCTTGCATGTGAAAACCTACTCAGCAGTCAACCTGTTTCTGATTATGGATATGTAGAAAGGTTTGCTGTTAACTTCACAATATAAACTGAATAAGGTGCTAATGTTGTGTTAACAGTTTTCTGTGCTTACTTCAAGTGGCAACTTTGTGAAAAAAAGCAGGAGCAGCTTTAATGGCTTTAACCTTTCAGTTGTTTATTTATTGGTGCATTTACCAAACAAATGTGTAATTAATCAAATGACCAAAAACACAGACAACCTGGTACCTTTAGGGCCCCTGAGGTTCCGAGGCCTGTCAAGTTTTTTGAGATGATATACTAAATTTGGTTGCTTGTCACTGTATTGACACAGATTTAACAAGGCAACTTGTTGCTTTGGCAGAGCTCTTCTACAAACCTTTAAATAGAAAATGAGGCTAGTGAAGATTTACACTGGAACTAGATTATAAAGTGAATACCATGGGCTGTCACATCACACCTAAAACCTCTTCAATAGAAACAGTAGACCACACAGGGCCTTAAAGAAAAAACTAGAAAGTCTCATTTTGTTGTTGTGGTTTAACAAAGATTGAAGGAAAGTTAGGTTACTCTAGTCTAGACCCTGAAACAAATGAACACATTAACGGTATTTAAGGGGGATAATAGAACTAGTTTACCTAATGTAAATTAGAATGATTAAATTGCCTTTTTTTTTATCCCAAACTACATTTAATGTCTGAATTATACCTTTTTGTTTTCTTTTTCCAATCACTGTTTAACGAGCAATCAAATCTTTCAAAGTTTTTAAATGTTTTAAATGCACATTTTTTTTCTTTGCAAAGACTGGAGGTCCCAGGTTTATGTGGCTGAAGTAACTTTCATTATTTGATGAAACTGGTGAACGATGTGGTTAGTTTCTTTCTATAATGCAGGTAAAGTTGTAGGGGTAGCGAGTTTTACTTGTCCCGTTGTGACTCGTAAGCTCCATCTGGTGCACTTAAGCACCATCAAACAATAAGGCTTGGAGTCACAGTGTTATAACAGCAGTGATACAATTATATATTTAATTATATATTTAATGTAATGCTGTCAAAATTATCGCGTTAACGGCGGTAATGAATGTTTTTGAATTAATTGCGTTAAAATATAACACATTTAACACATGTGCAGAATGGCCCGCCCCATACATCCCACCAGTGGCAGCGCCAGGGTATGGCTGGGGTAGGCTACACCCATACCAAGAAATGGCTTAGCCCCACCATGAAAAATGATGTTAAAGTACGCAAAATAAAGTCCGCCTACTCGCGCCGAGAATTGCACAGACAGCAGTTAGTAAGATGGATTTCAGTAGCCACTTGTCTGGAAATACTGAAGACCAGAAACGGTTTTGAAAACTTTTGTCAGGTAGTGATCGTCTTCTCAATGGAACATCTTTGATAATGTCTTCTGGTCAATCAGAATCAAGATAACGGCGTGGTGTTGTTGCAGGAAGTCCCGACGGAGAATACTTTTGCTGTAGTACAGGGGTGCACATAACTGGTACGCAGGTTATGTGCGTAATCTGAAATGCGTACCGTCACTTGTGTCACAAAGCGCATTTGCGTACCGACGTACTTGTGAAGCTTTTCCAGGAGTCGGTCTCCGTGTGCACAGACAGGGCTGCTGTTAACGTCGGTCTGTACAACGGAATTGTGCCAAAACTACGCCAACCGGCTGCGGAGGGAGACTCCTCCCCTTCACTGGAGAACTGGGGTTATATTTCTCCCGCATTTCTCCCGATTTCTGACAAAATCAGATTTACTCACGACTGTTTCCACTCAGACTTTAATACAGCTACACCATTGTTTGGTTTCCATGGTAGCGCGTCTCTTTAGTAGCGCGCACAACTGAAAGTCTGAGAGAGTGAGGCAGATAGTCACAGAAAACTGAACAAGAATCGACAACTCGACCCTCACTCCTGTCCTGTAAAATACAGGTCCAGCCCACACATATGCTCCATCAAGGATGGTGCTACAGGCCGCAATTTACAACTACAATAAGCATGTTAATGTTAATCTACAGCTCCGGCGATCCACTGATCTCTGATTTCATCTTTACTAAAATTACATTTGATTAAGAGCAACAATACCACTTGGATAATAATTCATCAATAATAATGATCAAATAATATACAAGTGTAACTCTGTTTTTTCAAGTAGGCCCACATTAAGGTTCTAATACCTCTGTACTTCAATTTAAGTATACTTTTGAATGCCGGACTTGAATTGATTATTTGTATAATGTGCTATTGCTGCTTCACCTCTTAAGTGAAGGATCCAAATACTGTTCCACAAGTAAAGAAATACTTAATTCTGTTGGGTAGTTTTTTGTTGCTGTTGTTTTTTTAATATATTTTGGGCCAGACAGTGCCTTTATTGAAAGACTGCATATGGGCAGAACCATAAAGAAGCTGTCAAATATTTTCAAATCAAGCAATCACCTTTTTATTGTTCATTCATTACAGTACATGTTAGCTATATTGCGACCCTCAGCAGACAACTCATAAGGCTGCTTTACAAATGAATATATCCAGATTAGCAAAAGGCCAACTATACTGAACAGGTTTGTGAGATGGAGAGAAAGTGATTTTTTCACAATTATTGCAATCAATTCACAAATGTCAGGAAATGATAGTTTATCCTTAGCGAAAAGTAGCATTTTAAAATGATTTGCTTTAATCAACAGGTAACAAGATCCCTGGTATCTCAATCACTCAGGAATTATGCACTTTAAGGAGTGAATCTAAACAGTCTTTAAAATTCAGCACATTATTACACAATCTGGCTGAGTTCAGCAGGTTTCCGGTACACTCTTACTCAGCACTATTTCTAACCTTTCTATTCTGACACAGAAAGCCGGGAAATGTATGTTCGGTGGTTTCTTTTGTTGGTAGACAGATGTGTTCCTCATTAAGAGGTAGTACCTCAATATGCCAACAGACTGCAGAGTGTTTTATTTGGCTGGCTGCACTCCCAGTCATGAGGAAGCAGTTGAGGATGTTTAGTTTTTCTTTTTCTCTGCAGAGTCCTGTAGTTTCGCTTCTGCAGCAACACAGAGCCTTCACTGTAATGCTTTAAGTTCCGTCTTCACTTGAAGATAAGGACAAATAAAGCGAATTCTGGGAGTTTCTTAATGTGTAAGAAAGTGCAAGGTTCATGCAGTACATAGTACACAAAAAAGTTAATCTCTTTAACACTGTCATAGGCTGTATCAGTGTTTCACATTCATATTGCATCAGTGCTATGGATGAACTGTATCGAAGCTTCATCAGATCTCACACACTCGCTTTCGATCTCAACGTTTTCCTGTTTAGGGCTGACTTTCTATCATTTGTGTGCAAATGTTTGTGTGTAAATGGCTCGTGGAAATAATAATTATAGTTTAATTTCTCTTCTTTCTTCCTTTTTCCCTTTCATCTACTACCACAGCTGTCATCTTACTTTGTCCACTTTGACATATAAAAAACAAAAACAAACTAGAGAATGCAATTCCTGAAGAAGTTGCCATGGGAATGCTTTATACGGTGGCCCTGAAGTGCAAGTCAAAACAACATTTGAGAAAACACTACAGCATTTCACAAAATACTTCAACATTTCACAAAACGCTACAGCATTTCACAAAACACTTCAACATTTCAACTTTTACGGAAAGGGTATTCCTTTAGGGAGAACACTTCTTATTTGTGATTGGACAGAGCCAGCAAGAGAACCACTGCTGTGATTGGTTATTTTTGCTGCCAGTCAAGAAATGACACTTCTTGATTGGTCACATACTTGCCAAACCTCCCTCCTTGCCATTTTCGCAGGAGACTCCTGATTTCATTGCCCTATCCCGGGCTGCGTTTAACTTCTCTTATTTTTCATTTCCTCGCTCCTCGTCATCACCGGAAGTTGATTTGTCTGCGCCATCTTGAGTACCGTCCCAGTGGCCTTATTTTTGCCGGAGGACCGAGGATCGAGGAGTGATAATGGAAGAGCGATAACCGAGGAACCACCAGACCATCCTCCGGTGAAATCCTCAGACACTCGCCCCGCCCCCTTACTGTTTATCGCTCACTGATTGGACGAGGCAGTGCATGCACTGTTCTGATGCTTCTTGACATGAGAGCAGTTTCCCAGCGGAGTGAAGAAAATACATGAACCTCACGGGAGTCACTCCTCAGTTTTTACCGTGTTTTGTTTCAATTAATGTATCATTTAGTTACAAATATGTGATATATCTGAACAACAAAGTGGTCAAAAATCATTTTATTCATTTTTTGGAAACATTTTCATGATCGCTTTTTTCGTTTTACATTTTCATTTATTGTCATTTTATCAATACCGGTATTGATAAAATCCTAACGATACCCATCCCTACTCCTCTTGTATGGCTTTCTTTATGCAGATAATTCTGCATATAAAGAATGTTCAAGTCTACACGCAGAGAAAAAAAGTTCTTACACGAGGCCTGGTTCTAGTGCTTACACCCCGATTGATGAGTCGTCAATACAGCAGTTTAGTGTTTATGGTCATTTGGCATTTGGTTTATGTGAGTAGCATTTTTAATGTGTTTTGAAAATGGCAAAACGAGTGAATATGTCAGATTTCTGTTTCTTACTTAGAGAACTGTGTGCAGTGTTTTGCAAAAAGTGTCAAGATGAATAGCAAATTGGGTGCAGAGCTGAAAGTGTATTTAGAGTTTTGGAGATTTGAGCTCAGGTTTTGCTCTTTGAGTGTGAGATTAAATAATTGTGCTTTATGTGAGATTTTAGTGTGTTAGCAACTGAAAAGAACTGGAAAGCGTTAATACAAATACACTTGGTAAACATGTTTTTCACTTATGATACAGCATGAGGTGGATCGAAACCAGGATCTTCTGGGGCGATTAAAAAAGTTTCAGGAGAGAGAGACGGAGGCAGCTAAGAACCTGTCGGAGCAGGTGGAGGCCAACAGAGCTCTCCGTAAAAACATGGAGGGCCTGAACAGGAAACTGGAGGAACGAGACACTCGACTGAACACTGCCAATCAGGTACGCTCACACAAACCCGCACAATGCATCTATACTCTGGTCACGTCTCTTATTTGATGTCGGCTTACTTCTGTAATCTGTTCCCAGACCATCAGTTATTTGAAGGATGAGATCAGAGAGCTGACGCAAAGGATTCAAAACCAAGACTCAACAACTTCTTCTCAAACCCTGGAAAACCAGGAGCTGCAGGAACAGTTAGATTTACAACACAGGTGCACACACACACACACACACACACACACACACACACACACACACACACACACACACACACACACACACACACACACACACACACACACACACACTAAGACTACCAAATAGCTTAGCTTTGTTTCATGTACTGCACGAGATAATTGCTAACCTCACACTTGTATGTGCTTCGTATTTCAATCAGGAAGCATCAGGAAGTCTCTCAGCTTTGCCAAAGTCTCCAAGCCGCGCAGTCCTCCTGCTCAGAGCACATTGTCAAGATTAAGGTATGTGAGGCACGATCAGTACTGCAACCATTTCACGACTAGGGGTTAGTTAGTACAGATATAAAAGGCAGGAAATTCAGTTTTATCCCTTCAACTTCTTTGCTTTTCTTCTGGTTTAATTATATCTTACTAAATATATGGGTTTTGGATAAACTGCAAGGCAATGTTTTCACTATTTTCTGACATTATTTAGATCATTATTGTGCAAGTAGTCGGCCGAAAAAGACTAATCATAAATATAATCATAAATTGCAATCCCAGAGGACAACTTTTGGCCAGTTTTTTTTACTAAAGTTAGTAGACAAGCGTGTGTAACATGAACAAATTGAGATCACAACATTCCCATGTACCTTATTCAAAACTGTACTGAAGGTGCTCACGAAAATATGCTAATGATAAACACTATATGTATAATTCACAAGCTGAAATGAAAGCATCAACTAACACTGGTAACACATTTTATGGCTTGTAGTTTTCAACCCTCATTTATAAGCCAATTCCATCAGAGTGCAAACACGCAGCTGTTAACTCTGTTTGAACAAGAATGAGTGGCTGGATGAGGACAAGTCAAAGACAAACCAACACGATGCAGACAATCAGAAACCTGGGTAATGTGAGGATACTGTATACAGCAATAAGATGTACAATGTATTTGTGTAAGCCAAATATGATTAGAAACTGTAAGACAGTCTACTCACTCCGCTTTTCATTTGAGGTGCTAGACATGTTTGGTTGTTTTAACAATTTGTTCACTTCATTCTCCATTCATTAAATGCCTAAAAAGGCTGGAGTTTTGTTTAAAGGTCACCTATTATGCAAAATCCACTTCTTCATGTCTCTTCTACATCAACATGTGTCCCCTCTGTGGAAAGAGACTCTGAACGTTTCAGGAAAAAAGATTCTCTCTCTTTTTGTCCTGATCCATTTCTCTAAAAACCTGTCTGAAANATCTACAAACACATTCACAATGCAAGGCAAATTACCCAAACACAACAAATCAAATAGGTCAACATATTCTATCTTTCTGACCACAGAAACCTTAAACAATAACAATTGTTTAAGGTTTCTGTGGTCAGAAAGATAGAATATGTTGACCTATTTGATTTGTTGTGTTTGGGTAATTTGCCTTGCATTGTGAATGTGTTTGTAGATAAGAATGACATTGGTTAGGGGTATAAATAGTGGATTGTCCTATGGGGAGGGGCTTAACATGTAAACCCCTGGCCACAAGTGTTTAGGGAAGTAGTGTGACTGTGGCAAGAGAGCAGAGAGGTACCAGTCCTATAGGTTTTGTTTTCTTTATGTAAATCCTTGTGACTTTGAGCTTTTTTGGCTGTTAATAAAAAGCACCTAAGGACCATTTTTTGGTGACTCTAGCCAGCTTATTTAATCCCTAGTTTTTTTGCTCGACCTTTTTTGTAACATCCACATTTTACTTTAACTTCTCTAGGTTTAAATATGTATATATACACCATTAGTCAAGTTCATCAGCTCATTTTAAAATTGTATAGGCTAGCAGTTGGCTACCGTTAAATAAATAGCCGATAGCAAAACAAGAAAGATATCGGGACAATGAATTTGTTTAGCTCTAATAATGTATTTTCTGACCAAATAATGTCCCCTAGCTTTGTATATATGCCTTACATATCCCCTAGCTTTCTGTGTGTTCGTTTAATTAGTGCCATAAAGACAGCAACAATAGTCAAATCTATGTTAAATAGAATATAGTTATATAACGTTAATTGTAACTGGCTTTTGCTCACTATCACAAACAACAACTACAAGTTATCCAAGCTAAGCTAGTAGCTACAAATAAAAACAAATGTGCATTCAAAATATTAAAGTTGTCATGGCAATTGTGCGTTGCTATCTTTGTGTTTAGTTGTTTGTTGTTTTAGCTCCTGTAATGCTAGGTAGCTAACGTTACATTTAAAGTGAGTGAAGTTTCTACAGCAATTCAGAAGTTGCTAACATCGTTAAAGGAACCATTAGCATTTACGTTGTTATTACCTATTGCTCAGAAGCATGTGTCCTTACCTTACAGATGAAGAGACTCCGTAAATCCGTAGATAAGTAGATAAATTATGTTTCTCTGTTAGCTGTTAGCTACACACACTGCAGACTCAGAAATCCCTCCAGTTTGTCTCGAATGAGATGTGTGTACTAACGCGAGACTTAATGACGTATCGCGATAGTTTCGTCTCTTCTTATAGTAGGATCAACAGCACTGTACAGTACAGTTATGTACATCTTAACATACAGTCTTTGATCTTAACACAAGTTACTACCCTAAAGGAAGATTACAATTAATTCAGGCATTTTAGACCAAAGACAGTAAAATGGCAGCCGTTATGGCAGCTTTTATGCCATTTTATTAGGACGCAGGACATTACAGTATGAATCCACATCAGACAGGTGGAGTCAGAAATAGCTATGAGGAAGTCTAATCCTCCTAAATTCTTCTTTTTGATTTATCTTTAACTTTAACGTGTTATTATTCTGAATGTCATTTATATTGTGTACATTGTATTGTGGTGAAGCCGATTACATGTCTGTATGTCCTGGAAAAATGGGATTTGTTTGGAGAGTTTTTCCTGAATTGTGGGTTGAAACAGGAGTGTGTTATCCTGTACAGATAGTAAAGCCCCATGAGGCAAACGTGTGATTTGCGTGTAGAGTTAACATATCAGTAAATCAAAGCAAAATGGATCCACAACAACACCATCAACTGACAGCTTTAACGAAAAGTCTAAAATAATACAGGAAAACACTGGTATAATAGTGTTCTATTTTCATAGCTTTCATATCAGTCTGGCACCTGTTTGTAGTTGAATGTGTGACTTCCTTGGGCTTGGACTTTGAGCCGTAGGGTCGCCGGTTTAAGTCCCCGAACAGACCTAAATATGGAGTGTGGACTGCTACTTGGAGAGGTCCCAGTTCACCTCCTGGGCCCTGCCGTGGTGCCCTTGAGCAAGGCACCGGACAACCCCCTTCCCCCCTCACTCCCCATTGCTCCTCGAGCGCTGTACAATAGCTGCCCACTGCTGCTCCTAGACTCCTGGTAGGATGGGTTAAATGCAGAGGCCAAATGTCACTGTGTGTGCTTTGTGCTCTGCATGTGTGACCATTAAAGAGGGTTTCATCCCTCCGATTCTATTCTATTCTATAATAGAACATGTAATTGCATAGTTTGTCCCGCAGAGAGCAGCAGTGCTATATTCATCAGTCAGCATTTGCCACAGCACGATGAGGGAACTGTTCAAGAGCAAACTTGGATTAGCTCTTCATCATGAAAATACACATGCTACTCTGTGTGTATGAGTGTAGACAAGTGGATATGGATATAATGTACACGCATAGCAGAATAATCAGGCACTTATGGCATTAATTTAGCAATGACATAATGCCCATGTGTGGCACTGATGGCAAACAATATATGGGCTGACTGCTACCGGTGGCGTGAAATAAATCCATTTGCCCCCCAATGTTATTGTAATAAGCACTTAAATTCATGTTTATTTGTATCTTTGTAAACAACAAACTATACACGCAGCCAGTGTTACAACCCTTGCAACCAACAATGACTCTGATTATTATGCATCCAGTTGTGCATAAATACTTAATTGACTCCCACGGGGAAATTCGCCCTCTGCATTTGACAGTCAGAGCGCTGCCCCGAGGACCAACTCTAGTTCTGTAACAAGTGCTGTGCTCTGAGGCAATGGGCCAGAGTATTCCTGTTATACCTCGCATACATTAATGTCTTCTGATGATCGAAGGAACTGCAGGCTCAGCGGATTACTGTAAACATGGAGATGGAAAGGGCTCGGAAAAGACCAACCTGTAAGATGAATACTAAATAGTGTTGCAACCAGAGAGAAAAACATAAAGTACACAGAAGTCATTATAGTCACGCCACTATGGATGTGTGACAACTGGAAGAAATGTCAACGCTGGGAGGCATTAGATGAGGGGTACATTTTAAACAGTTTGAAGCAACAGTATAGGAGCTTTATATAGTAAAAGTAAAAGTTCCCAGTGGACAGCAGCAGGTCAAGAGGTCAGGGCCAATGTCCTTCCTCAGCAATAATTATAAAACAAAAGGGCTGGACAACCCCAAATACAAGCTAGGGGGAGCCACAGAGGACATTTTCTTTAAAGGTTGGGGGAGATCTCAAACGGAGGGGTGATGAGGGGTCTTAATTTGTCTGAAAAGGTCAGACAGAAGGCGTGTCCTCTTCAAAATGACACACAAAATGTAAACATGGGGAGGGAAAGGGCTTAGAAAAGACCAAGGACTCACCTGTAAGATGATTACTAAATAGTGTTGCAAACTGAGAGAAAAAAGTCATTTACGCCTCCACGCGTGACAACTGGAAGAACTAAAGACGCTTGGAGACATTAGATGAGGGGCTAATTTAAAACAGTGCAGTATCATTGCAAAATGCACTTTTGTACGTCTTTTATACATGAATATGTGTGTCAGGTGTGTCAGGGAACTCACCAAGTGTCAGAAAACACAACCGTCTCTCTTTTCCTCCAAACCCAAATCTCTAAAAACGGGACTTTAAAGGATCTGATACAGACTGATACAGATTTGAAAATAGTCTGACGTCAGTGACGAGGAGCTCCGCCTATATGGCCAACTCTCCACCAATCAGTGGAATGAGAGGTTGCCGTGGCATGGTAACAGCATGGTAACAGCATGGTAACATGACGCTCGTAACTCGGCCCCCTCCTTTGCAGGGGGGCGTGGTCAGCTGCAGCATGCAAAGACAGGGTGGAGGAGAGCAAAATAGAGCAAAATTAGGCATGGCTCAAATGCATGATCTGTTTGGTATTTTGAAAAAAAAACGTATAAATATACCTTATATAGGTATGGCCCTACAATATATTATTCAAATATAGCATGATAGGTCTCCTTTAAGTTGAACCTAATATTTTTGATTTAGTATTTAAATTATTGTTTTCAACTAACCTAAAAACAATTATGTGTAATTTCAATGAATTAAAGTCAAAATGTCAGCTTTTTTATTGTAGGAGCTTTACAAAGTAATATTAAGGGAGGGCAGGGGGTCAAGAGGTCCGAGCCAAAGCCCTTCCTCACAAATATTTCTAAAACACAAGAGCTGGACAAACCAAACGAAAAGCTAGGGGGAGCCACAGAGGACACTTATTTTAAAGGTCTCTAAAGGAGGGAGGATGGAGGGGTGTTAATTTGTCTGAAAAGGTCAGACAGAAGACGTGTCCTCTTCAGAGTGACATAACGGGCTCCTGTTCTCTCTGTCTCTTCCTTTCTCGTCTTTTCATCCCCAAGAGTATCCGTTTCGGTCGGCTGTCCTTACAACCCCTACCTCGCCTCTCATGTCTTCTTTTCATGGACCCCATATCCCCTTCACTTAGAGGCTAACTTTTTTTTTTTTGCCTGCTGTCCTTCTTTATCTGTCACAGTCTGTCGCTCTGCCTCTCTCTGGTATTCTGTCATCCTCCTTTCCGCCTCCACCTGTCCTCGCCCTCCTGAGGTCGGCCTCAAAGCAGCCTTATCTCCAAGATGACGTAGATACATACAAAAAAAACAACATATTCAGATGCATTTACACAAACACACACACACACACACACACACTAAATCAGCAGAAGTGCCTGCAGATGTGCCCTTCATTGCCATCTGTTGTGAACAATTTTTGAATGTAGCTCACGAAGAGTCATCTGCATTCGTTGGCTCACAGGATGTAAACATCAACACAAAATTTAATATCAATACTGCCGTGTCATGTCAATTGTAGAGAGGTTTGGCAGCTGACATATCATCTCTATACATCTATATTATGTCAGGGTTTTATATTTTCTTACCTTGGCTTTTTGTAAATTCAATTTATCCATCTCGTCAATTTAGTTCAGAATGGTCAAATGTAAATGCAATTAATAATAATAATAATAATAATGCATTTTATTTATATAGCGCTTTTCACAACTCAAAGACGCTTTACAATATGAGGGAGGGTAGATAAACAAGGACAGGCAAACAAGTAAGTATGTAAAGTAAGTAAGTAAATTAGCCTTTAAAAAGCTTGTTGGATCAATTTGTTATCTGAGGTGTTTAAGTAAAGAAATCAAACACAATGACAGTTTTTCTTTAATTGCTAGACATGATTGTGAAACTGGGATTCATTTGATTTTCCTCATCACCTTCTTAGCACAGCATAATTATTCTCTTGCAAATTCACACTTTCTCATTGTTTTCACACATTTTTCACACCTTTTCATAACAGTTCTCATATAAAAACACAACACACTAGATTTTTAAATGTGTGTTAAACAAAAAGGAAACATCTATTCACAACACTTAACCTGTTAAGCCCTGAGCCTATTGTTCAGGTCTCAGGCTCGAAAAGGAAGTTTCCAGAACAAATGACCATAACTACACTTCTAGGGGGAAATTAATAATCTTTTTTCTAAAAGTAATGATAAACCTGTGAGTTGGATGTAGAAAAGTCAAAATCAATATAGATGTTTTTTATTTTAAAGAAAATTCACATTGAACATAGTAAAAAACTGTAAATTATAGTGTCCGTCCAAAAATTCTTTTTTACTTATAGTGAAAAACTACCCTTGATGATGGTAAGGTAGACTAAAAGCTTTAGGAATCCAAAGTACAACATATAATAAGTACCCTGTATCAAGATTGATGCAAAACAAGTGACATTTTACCTTTTTGGAGAGGTTTAGCAAAA